TATATATATATATATATATATATATATATATATATATATATATATATATATATATATATATATATATATATATATATATACTTTACACACCCCTTTTGCGACCTCCTGACAAGCAAAGTCCATGGGGAAGCCACATTCACTTAACAAACGTGTTACGATCTTAACAACTGCAGTGACTCACTTAAGAACTGTGACAAGAAAGCTCGTAAAATAGGGCAAAATTTACTTAACTCGCTTAGCAACAGAAATTTTGGGCTCAGCTGTGCTCGTAAGTGGAGGACGGCATGTATAGTGATCTCTAGGCCTGCTGGCTGAGGAATTCTGGGAGTTGAAGTCCACCTATCTTAAAGTTGTCAAGGTTGAAAAAAAAAACTGGCCTCAAATTTTGCAGACTTAAATTTAGAAAGACTGCTGTTAGATCTCCTGGAGAAGGGAGTTTTCTCCCGCTTAAGGTGTGAAGGATGCAAACTCCTATCGCAATTGTGCACTGCCCGGTCAAATTCTCACCTTAAGCCGGAGAAAAATTGGCTTGTGGGAAGTTCGCAAAAGATAATTGCATGATCCCGGGGACACTGCAACCGTCATAATTACAGGCCTATAGCCAAGCATCCAAATTTTGATCACGTGACCATGAGGTTGCTGCAAACGTCGTAAGTGTGAAGGACAAGCATCAGTTGCGTTTTTCGGTGTCGTCGTAACTTCTAACGGTCACTAAACAAGTGGTTGTAAGTTGAGGGCTACCTGTATTGCTTGGTCAAGCGTAGGTTGTAATTGTAAAGCAGACGACGCTAATCCTTCTTTCTTAAAAATGATGACTTTTAGGGCATGCCAGAACAATGGGCCCGCTTGCTGCAGACGTCCAACATCACCAAACTGGAGCAAAAGAAGAATCCTCAAGCCGTGCTAGATGTGCTCGAATTCTACAATTCCAAAAAGACCACCAACAGCCAGAAATATATGAGTTTCACAGGTGGGTAACTTTCTTTAGACAAGACCAGGAAGGATGGAGTGGAGTGGAGTGGAGTAGAATGTGGAGTGGAGTGGAGCAGGGTGTAGAGTACAATGTAGAGAGAGTAGAATGTAGAGTAGAGTAAAGTAGAGTGGAGTGGAGTGGAGCAGGATGGATTAGAGTAGAATGTAGAGTAGAGTAAAGTAAAGTGGAGTGGAATGGACCAGAGTGGAGTAGAGTAGAATGTAGAGTAGAGTGGAGTAGAGTGGTGGAGTGGAGTGGAATGGAGTAGAATGTAATGTAGAGTAGAGTAGAATATAATGTAGAGTAGAATGTAGAATATAGAATGGAATGGAATGGAATGGAATGGAATGGAATGGAATGGAATGGAATAGAATAGAATAGAATAGAATAGAATAGAATAGAATAGAATAGAATAGAATAGAATAGAAAATATGGAATGGAATAGAATAGAAAATATAGAATGGAATGGAATGGAATGGAATAGAATAGAATAGAATAGAATAGAATAGAATAGAATAGAATAGAATAGAAAATATGGAATGGAATGGAATAGAATAGAATAGAATAGAAAATATAGAATGGAATGGAATGGAATAGAATAGAATAGAAAATATGGAATAGAATAGAATAGAATAGAATAGAATAGAAAATATGGAATAGAATGGAATGGAATGGAATAGAATAGAATAGAAAATATGGAATAGAATAGAATAGAATAGAATAGAATAGAATAGAATAGAATAGAATAGAATAGAATAGAATAGAATAGAATAGAATAGAATAACAGAGTTGGAAGGGACCTTGGAGGTCTTCTAGTCCAACCCCCCCTGTTCAGGCAGGAAGCCTAGCCCTATACCAGGGGTAGGCAACCGTGGCTCTTTTATGACTCATGGACTTCAACTCCCAGAATTCCTCAGCCAGCATGGAGGAAACTATGGTCCCTTCATGACTTGCAGACTTCAACTCCCAGAATTCCTCAGCCAGCATGGGGAAACTTTGGCCCCTTCATGACTCGTGGACTTCAACTCCCAGAATTCTTGAGTCAGCATGGCTCAGCTTGGAAACCTCTCCCTTTCCCCTCAGCATGGCTGGCTCAGGAATTCTGGGAGTTGAAGTCCACGAGTCATAAAAGAGCCAAGGTTGCCTACCCCTGCCCTATACCATTTCAGACAAATGGTTTGAACACTTTTTCTGCCACAGCTGTTAAGCGAATCACTGCAGCGGTTAAGTTAGTAACACGGTTGTTAAGTGAATCTGGCTTCCCCCATTGACTTTGCTTGTCTGAAGATTGCAAAAAGGAGGATCACTTGATCCCGGAACACTGCAACCGTCATAATTGGGACTCAGTTGCCAAATGTCTGAGTTTTGATCACGTGACCCTGGGGATGTTGCAATAGTCATAAAAATCTGAAAAATGGTGATAAGTCTCTTTTTCCCCCCATTGCTGTTGTAACTTAGAATAGCCACTTAAGGAATATTTTTAAGCCCAACGACTTACCTGTATTGTGTCATCGGCTTGTCTCCATTCTGATAAATGGAATTTTTAAGATAGCAATATACAAGCCATAAATTAGCTACCTCACACCCAATCCAAAGTAATTATTATTCCTGGCCTCTGTGTTTAAATTCTGTGTTATCTAAGTTTTATCATTCCTCCCACTCTCCTCCACAACGATCCATCCTCCTCCATCTGGCACAGAGAAAGTACTTCATGAGATCCAATCTCAAAATAAACCGTTGATAGTTGTTGTACTGTCACTAACGCAGCCATCCTTCTAGAAATCAGGGCAGCAAAAGAACTGATGTAATGTTTGGTAAAATTGAGCATGAAGCAAATTAAAAGTCTGAAGGGCTGAGTTCAGAATAACCTGAACAAAAATACTGGATATTAAAAGGACAGTACCTTAGATGCAGATAGATAATTCACCGGGTGACTTAAGACCCTGTAAGACCACGCTTGGAACATATTGTGTCCAGTTTTGGTCACCGCAATATAAAAAAGATGTTGAGACTCTGGAAA